GAGGTCATTCCTGTCTGTGTGTGGTTGGACACAGGACGGAACTGCGGCCAGAAGGAAGGTCAGGAACCCCCAGCAAGTCCTCGCTCTGCCCCCTCTCCACGCCACCCACCCTGGCATCACGGAGCTGTAGGTGTCTCTAAGGCGTGGCCTCCATGCTGCTTTCCTGGAATCTTAATTAGGGCCTTTGGTGAGTCTTCCTCTCGTGGGTAAGGCCAGCCCATCCTTCTAGAGCTTAGGTAAACAGCCTGTGGTCACCCGTAGTCCTCCTCCTCTCACACTGCACTTTGCATGCACAGGCAAGTCCTGCCATCTCTGCCTGCAGAATGTGGCCAGATCTGACCACTGGCGGGCACTGCCTCACTGCCCTCCTGTGTGTTCTCTGTCCCTCTAATTAGCCAACTGTACTTTTTAGAGCAGTTTTAGGTTCACAGCAAAATCAGACAGAGTCCAGAGTGTTCCCACATACCCCTTGCCTCCTTCTCTTTTGAGCACAGCAATCATGTAAGGAAGCGCCCGGTCAGAACGGCTCTCCACGTCTCTCAGAACAAAGCCAGAGTCCTTCCTAAGACCGGGAAGCCCGGCTTCCTTCCCAACTCCCTTCCAGTCACTCTGGGTCATTTTGTGTCTCACTCTAGGCACAGTCCCACTCCAGGGCCCTTGACTTGCTCTTCCTTCTGCCTGGAGTGTCCTTCCTACAGATGTTCCTCCCTCGCTTCAGGTATTTATTCAGATGTCACCTTTGGAGAGGGCTTTCCTGCCCTGCTGTATTTTTCTCAGTGGCACTTGTCACCAGCCGTTGATATGCAGATTGATTTATTGCCTGTCTCTCCTCACGAGGCCCCTGCGCTCCATAAGGCAGGGATCCTTGTCTCTTGCGCCTACCGCTATTTTCCCGGCCTTGAACTGTGCCTAGTACATGTGGATGAGTGGTTAGGAGCGTCATCGCAGGTGGACTACCTGCCGGTGTCACTGCTGGGTAGCAGGCTGACCACACGCTCGGCACAGTCCTGAAAGTGGGTGGGTCCGGTGTCTCTGGAGCCTTCTGTTGGCAAGAGCCTCCCTTCCCACTGTTTTCCAAAATGGTTAATGGAGAAAGAGTGTCTTAGAGGGACAGAAATGCCCCATAGTCCCTGATAGGGAAGATGGTTCAGTAGCTGAGATGTAGAACAGGTTCATCACACTCCTCGCTTTCAGCAGACAGCACGTTTCCCCGCTGGCACTGAGGTTT